GGTTTAGGGCTTTGGGTCTAGAGGTTTAGGCTTTGGGGTTTAGATGGTGCCCAATCTCATTTGCAAGATCTGACCCTGAGCCCTGGGCGCTAAACCACTCTGACTGACGCCATTGTGCCAACGACCCAAAAATAGGTACTCGGGTTTGGAATGGTAGTTATGTAGTTGTGTTTTTTCGGGGGGTGGGGGGGTGGGGGTAAATGTAAGGAAAGTGGTATTTGACTGTTAATGGGCGGGGGAGACTCCCAAGTTATGTAGGGTAGGTAGCATATGGGGGAATACTGTATAAGATTCTGAAATACTTTTTCCCTCAGGGCAACAATAACGCGCTCCTGAATTGACGGGTATTGGGGTCTCACCATTGATTGGGGTTTAGGGTTTAGGGTTTGTGAGTTAGGGCTTAGGGTTCACTTGATTCCCTAAACCCTGAACCGTTCAGCCCAAGGACTCTAAACCCTAAATTCCCACGCATACCCTAAACCCTTAACCCTAAACCCTACACCGCGTGCCGCTCAAGGGACCGTGGACATGCCCGCAACATCGTCACAGGACATGCCGAGCGGGTGAACGTTCACCGCCTCAGCGCACGAAATTGGGGGCGTCGGGATTCGGCGGGGGCTCGTCAAAAGGTTCTCCTTAAGGGTTCTTTAAGGACTCCCTACGGATTTTGTAAAGGGTTCTTTAAGGATTCTGCAGGGATTCTATTCGAGATGTTGAAGGGTTAATGGGGCTTCGGGACTTAGGGACTTAGGGGGTAGCTCCGGGCTGAGGGGGCTTTGGTTACATTGTCAAGGGCCTTCGGCTTCTTTTTAGGGGGGGTACCCTAAACCCTGGCTCCTTCCACGATTTTTGAAAAGGGTACCTGAAGGGTTTGAGAGATTCTCAGGGGTTGCTTCTGAAGCAGTCTTACGTTACTTACGGCACGGCTTCTAAACCCTCCTAAACCCTAAACCCTAAAGCCTAAACCCAAAGCCTCCGCCCTTATCCTGAACAAACCCTCAACCCTAAACCAGGCTAGTCTGTGAAAAATCTTGAATAGCTTGGCGGTTCATAGGTAGTTAAAGGTAGGGTTAAAAGTCCCCTATAATGGGTTATATTTACAGTAACCCTACTTGTAACCCCACTTATAACTACCCATGAACCTCCAAGTAGCTTGTGGGCTTTATCGGGCTGGGGGGCTTGGGAGTTTAGGACATAGGGCATGGAGATTCAGCAGCACGGCTCGCAACATCAGGCGCCTTCGGGTTTGGGGCCTAGGGGCTTTGGAAGCACAAAAAGCCCATCAAACTCAGGAAGGTGGAGCGAAGGCCGAGGGTTTAGGGTTTAGGGTTTAGGGTTTAGGGTTTAGGGTTTAGGGTTTGAACAACCCCGACGTTTCTGGAGAATCTCCAACCCCCCACACCCTAACGGCTCCCAAACCCTAAGAACCCAGAACTCAATAGCACGGTCTCGGGTTTATTAGGGTTTAGGGTGCCAGAACTCCAAAACACTAAGAACCCTAACCAACCCTACACCCCAAGTGAGGCTGATCAAAACCGGCTGGAGCGGCCAGGAAAAATGCGGCAAAGAAGAAGAGGATGGCCCAATACGTCCGGTCCTTCGTTGAGGTATGTGTAGGGTTTAGGGTTTAGGGCTTAAGCTTAGGATTTCGGGCAATTGGGGCCTGGGGTTGAGGATGTAGGGCTTAAGGAGGTTAGGGGTTTAGGGTTTAGGGTGTAGGGTTTGGGGTTTAGGGTTTAGGGTTTAGGGGTTTAGGATCTGGGGCTGGGGCTGGGGCTAGGGCTATTGCGGGGCTGTAGGGCAGGGGTTTAGGATCTGGGGCACAGGGAGTTTAGGGCTTAGGGAGACTCGCAACTCGGGTCTCTAAAATTGCACCATTCATCGGGCTTCATTCGTGGCTTGTTGGGTTTAACGCAGAGCCTTGATGAAGTAGAGTCGATACGCCCTAAACCCTAAACCCTAAACCCTAAACCCTAAACCCTAAACCCTAAACCCTAAACCCTATAAAGTTATAAAGAAACTACAGGGATGCCGGACAGATTCTAAGCTATGTCGAGCTGATGGGTACCTGCAGTTCCACTTCAAAGCTGCTTACTAAGCTCCCTGACCCTGTTTAGGGTTAAGGGTTTAGGTTTTAGGGGCCTAGAAACCCTAACCCTATAAACCGTCTTAAGGTGGCAGAACCAGGTGCCTGAGGCCCACCGAGAACTTTATGACATCACACAGTCCCCCACGTAGACAGCTTTAGAGGGTGTTAAAGCAGGTTTATGGGGCTTTGAAGAGTGTCAAGAAGGCCTTGAAGGCGGGTTGTAAAAGGCATGCAGATGGGGTTCCGGAAGGGTTTTGGGTTTTGGGCCTTAGCGACAGTTTGGGTTTGGTTTAGGTGGTTTAGGTTTGGGGTTGAGGGTTCAGGAGCTTAAGGTTTAAGGCTTTAGGGTTTAGGCTTCCTTGACAAAGTGGAGTTGTACTACAACCCTTAATTCTCCTTTATATCCCACCCCTTTTTGGCCAAAGCACGGCCCAGGACCCCTGAGTGGCGTCGGCATTGGGCATCAGGATGGCGAGGAAGAAAAAAACCTGCAGAGCGGAGGTGTCAGCAAGATTTTATGCATTCATACTTCTTTTCACTTGAATATAAAAGAGTACGTAGGTGTGCAGTATGTACATACAACACAAACTTTCTCTTTACACATATACATATATATGCGTACACAAATAAGTTTCTGTGTGTACTTGTTTGAGTTCTTATCTATATACTGAAGTATAGACATACACTTAAGAATCTCCCCGTGCTTATATTTACGTAATATAGGTACACATGTAGGTTAGAGATCCTTCAGACCCCTCTTGGTGGATCATGGGACTTGGTATGTGAAGTTGTAAGTACCGTACCTGGGGATATGACTGATAGCCAATGTAATTACCTTAACTGGTGACTAGCAACCTATTTACGAAGTCGCATGATCCTCTCAGCAACCGAAAAAAAAACCTTATAGAACCCTTCTGAACCCCTTGACCCATACCTCTTTGGGGACCCTTAAAGGTGCAGAGAAACCCTTAAAAGGAACCCTAACACCCTAAACACTAAACCCTTTTAACGGAACCTTTAAAGGAGCCCTTTGAAAGGAACCCTTACGGAAGCGAGAGGCCTTCGACAAGACGGCAATGGAAGCTGCTTCCACGAGCTTTCGCAGCCACCAGCCATCTACAGGGAGGGTTTAGGGTTTAGAGGCTTTTCTAGGGTTGTGATACTATAAGGAAAGGATCCTTCTAGGGTGGTAGTACTATAAGGAAAGGATCTTTTCTAGGGTTGTGATACTATAAGGACAGGATCTTTCTAGGGTTGTGGTACTATCAAAAGTAGTTCAGGGTTTGGGAGGGATCAGCTGTGAGGCTTTAGGGCTATAGCAAGTTCTGGGTGTAATATGTTGGCTTATTGCAAGGCTTCTTGAAAACTTGCTTGCGGAAGGTTTCAATTTTCTGCATAAATCGGAATCAAGAAAAGGGTTTTGGGCTGGAGGTTGCTGGGCTTAGTAGAAACTTACTTGGAGGATCATGGGACTTAGTAAGTAAAGTTATAAGTCCCCTAACTGGGGTTATACGTATAGTTACTTTAGTTATGACCCTACTTACTAAATCCCATGATCCTTTAAGCAAATCTAAACCCGAACCCTTGACCCTAAACTCGGCTCCTTCAAGGCCTGTCAGACTCGCACTTGAAGTGGAGAAGTGAGAAGTGTCTAAGGACCGTATACAGCCTTAACACACAAACGCCTCAAAAAAACCTAAACTCTAAACCCAAAGCCCTGTACCAGAAACCCTAAAAAACCCCTCAACGCTGTAATTACTGTTCTCCTGACTCGCACCTCCACTGCAGGTGCCGAGCTCATGGATGGAGTAGATCCGGTCCAAAATCATGCCTGCTGCGACCTTCCGAACTTGGAGACGGACGGTTCTAGGGTTTAGGGTTTAGGGTTTAGGGTTTAGGGGCCTTAATAATGAGGACAGGGCTTCGGGGTCTGATCCGGGCACATGCAAGTATTAACATAATACGGAACCTTGAGCCCTATATAAACCCTAAACCCTAAACCCTTAAGAAAAAATCTAAGTAAAATTTTCAGGCATGTAGAGTCAGGGCCCGCTAAGCACTAAACCGCGAAGGTTGACGGTTAAGGGTCCAGATCGGTCCAGGGTTGAGGGCTGTCGGGGTTTCGAGTTCAAACCGCGGTGGGGGCTCGGAGTTTCGAGTGTAGGGTTTGGGGCCCAGGCTTGGTGAGGTGGGACACGTAAGGTAGGGGTTTAGGGTTTAGGGTTTAGGGTTTAGGGTTTAGGGTTTAGGGTTTAGGGTTTGGGGTTTAGGGTTTAGGGTCGATGCTGTCTTGATTTCGATGATTTGGTGGAGAGGATTTATGTGAGTAGGTCGTAGAATCGCATGTTTGTTCGCAGAACCTATGGTTAGTCCCCAGACTCTATGTGACTAGTTCGTAGAATCTACATGATTCCTTCGTAGAATCTACATGACTGGTTCCTAGAATCGATACGATGAACGAGGGGAGTCTATACGAAATTGGAGAATCCACTATTCTGCGCGGCGCCGGCTCCCAACCTGCTTATAACCCACGTTCAGGGTTTAGGGTTGAGGGTTTATATAGGGTTTAGGGTTTAGGCTTTATATAGGGTTTAGGGTTTAGGGTTGAGAGTTTATATAGGTTTTAGGGTTTAGGGTTGATGGTTTATATAGGGTTTAGGGGTTTAGGGTTTCTAAGTCACCAGTGCCAAGCTTGCCGGGCCCACACAGAAACTGACTTTGCACCTAGAGCCGACAAAAGCAATCACGTCCCCGGATCCTCGAATGACGATCTAGATGCCTCATATATAATCCCCGTATATTCTAAGCCTTCTAATCCCTTGAAGTATGGTCTCAGCTTAGTCATCCCTTATCGTCAGCCTAAACTATACCCTAAACCGTGAACCTTCAAACCCTCAACTAAACCCTGAAAGTCCAAGACACCATGGCGAGGATTACAGCCCCTCGGCGCTTGCTCTTGGGATAGCTGTCCTGCCAAGAATCCAGAAAGGGCAATGGGTGCCTTCATGGATTCGAGGCATAGGGTCTAGGGCCCAACGGGTGCCTTAGTTCGGGATCCTCGAGGCTCGAGGCCCTTCTTTAAGGGTTTTACAATGTCGATTTCTGTACAGATGATAGTGATGCACATCGTACGTCCTGCGAGAAGCAACGCCAGAGGAAACGTACGTTAGTTAGTTAGTTAGTTAGTTAGTTAGTTAGTTAGTTAGTTAGTGAGTTAGTCAGTTAGTCAGTTAGTCAGGTAGTTAGTTAGTTAGTTAGTCAGTCAGTCAGTTAGTCAGTTAGTCAGTTAGTCAGTTAGTCGGTTAGTTAGTTAGTTAGTTAGTTAGTCAGTTAGTCAGGTAGTCAGTTAGTCAGTTAGTCAGTTAATTAGTTGGTTAGCTAGCTAGTTAGTTAGTTAGTTAGTAGTTAGTTAGTTAGTTAGTTAGTTAGTTAGTTAGTTAGTTAGTTAGTTAGTGAGTTAGTCAGTTAGTCAGTTAGTCAGT